ATTATTATATATATTTAGGCAAAATTGTGACTGCTTTTACAGTCGCTGATGGCCTCCCCCACGGCCAGGCCTTTGGCAAAGGCCCTGCTCAGGGGAGGCCTCGCTGCCGTCACTGCCTCTCAACCTTCACCTGACACAAATGGCAGATTGTAATTTGGTACCAAACTCATCTTTTTTGAGACGTGCAGGTGGATTCTGCTTCTTCAGGGTTTATTTTGGGCATCTTGTTTTTACCTGTTCCTAAAAGACCTCCTGGTAGTGGAGAATCGCTGAAGTCGTAACATTGCAAGTCACTGCATTGGTAACATGTGAATTTGAATAACTAGAGCAGAGGAGATTTCTAATGAGATTGCTTATCTATTTATTGGAAATGGAAAATTAAGTTACTGATACTTTGGACAAATTAAGTTTTTGTTTAAGGTTCAACATTGGGGTGAGTCAGTAAAGGTGTCTCTGTTGCAAAAGTCATTTCATCAGAGCTAGGAAAGCTACTGATTTGAGATTCATGGAATTCTCAGAATTAAAAAAAAAAAGTTTGTTCATGCTTTCCCCAAGATTGCAGCTAGAAAAGTCTTAAATCACTGTATTAAGAGTTACGCAGTCCCATTTCAGAAAAATAAACAAAAAAAATCACTTGTATCTAGTTATGAATATTTCTGGTGCTGCTTATTTAATACTGGTGTCAATACTAAACTAGAATTTATGGTTTGCACTAAATTCGTTGGGAAAAAAAAMCTACAGCCCTGGGTTTCTGAGTTGTTTGGACAGCCCGGGGAAGGCACTTGCAGCCAGTTGCTGGTACCACGTTGTGAGTGTGGTCCACTGTAGCAGAGCGTCYGCTGAAGGTCAGGCAGCAACAGTTCTGTCTGTTTTCCACCCTTGGGAAGGAACTCTGGTTCTTATCTTATTTTTAATTTACACGTGGAAAGGGAAAATAAAGTTCTCTGGGAGTTCTTAGATACTAGGCAGCATCATACTTTTCAGTATCATACTATTAGTTGAGCAAATGCTTTACTTTTGAATTAATCATTGGGATTTTGTTTTTATTTTTTCAAAGGACAGTAACAAAGGCCTTTCATATTGTTTGAGCAGTGCTGCTGGGCTTGATCTTTAATGACTTTTTTTTTTTTTTTTAAACAAGGCAGTGGAAAAAACAAGTACATGTAATGGAAAGACACAGACATAGCTGTTCTGATAGGTTGTAAAAATGTGTTTATCACCACCATAATCTGAAGAAAGAGTTGCAGACATCTAATTAGATAACTTCCCAGTACAAAGAGACCTTTCTCTTTGAAAGCAAGTTTCGCCAAATGAAATTGGCTTAGTGATAGACGCACTGATTTTGCTTGTTGCAAATGAAAAGCTGCATTCAACAAATCCCTGTTTAATGACGCTGATTGCTCTGGTGGGCAGGATTTGTTTAAGGGAGTGTTGGCGAGATCGACTCCAGAAGCGRGAGGCCGTGTCCAGGTCCTCCTGCCTCTCGAAGGTGCCGGGTGCCGAGCTGGGCCTGGTGCCTACAGCCGCGTCTGCAGGGCGCTTGTGGGGCAGGCGCCCGTGGGGCACCACAGTGCATTGCCCAGGCAGCCTGCGCTCRGCGGCGCGCTGATCCGCAGCAGTCCTCAGGAAGGGCCCTGGCGGAATGCCTGCATCTCCGCTTTGCTTCCTGGCGTTCCCTTTGCAGCCTCGCTGGACGGTTTGTCCCTTTGGATTGGTGCACTGTAGCTGTGACTGCATTTAAATCCTGTCTGCAAGTGCTGGGGTGGGCAGGAGTGGGGCTGAAGGTCAGGAATGCCTCTAAGTAGTTTTTATTGCAGCCTGTCAGTTCCCTAGCACAAAGCTGACATCTCCAGCGTGGACAAACCACCCACCAGGAACTTCGTTATTACTCTGTCAGTGAATTACAGGAATTTTGTTTTGCAATCTGTGATGTCTTAAGTCCCCTGTAATGATTTACCAGTTCTACAGATTGTGTGAAAATGCATTCCTCCATTGGTTAGAAAGGATTCRTAAGAGTGTTTTTTATCCTTTTGGTAGGGTATTGGTGTAAGCTTTTATTCTATTTTCATGTTGTTCAGTGTTTGTCATTTGTGCAAGTGAGGCTTCCAAAATCCCAGTGTGGTTTTCATAATGGTAGGTTATGGGGTATGATCTGAGAGGTAACAAACTGCATGGCTTCCATAGACAATAGCTGGTTGTCAATGGTTAACGTTTATTGAAGCGAGGCACAAAGTTTAATGTTTGAGGTTTTTCCCCTTGGAGTTTCTATTTTTAGTACCTGAAGGACTAGTTATTCTCTGTGCCAGCAGCCGGGGTGGGAAGGTCTGTGCTGCTTGTTCAGCAGCTGCCGCAGCATGGAGAGCTCTTGCCTGGGATTCCACCACAGGAGCCCGGCTTAGGGTGTTAGTTCAAATATCTCTGTCAACGTGGTGAATACGTTGGTTTTGCTCATTGATGTCTCCATCTGTTGCATCCAGCTAGGACATAGTATTGGATAACTCCTGTTTGGCAGCGGCTGGAATGTAGGTTTCAGGGCTTTTTTTCTGTGTCCTATCTTACATGAGAAAAAAAAAAATTCTGAGCATGCTGTAATATTGTGAACATTAAAATTTTTATTTTGTGGAGCTTCTTGTCCCTCAGATTTCCAGTGGAGTTCTTTCAGAGATGGAATGTGTCCACACAASAAGTATGCACAAAACAAATGGATATTTGACTCTTCATGAGAATAGCATTGTTATTTAGGATCTGCAAGTACTTCATTTGATAGAACTGGTTATAATTAACTAGGGTAGTTATTTTAGGCTACTGAAAAGAGACTTTGGGAAAGAGTATAAGCATCTTTAAAGATGCATGAAATAAATGAATAGGAGTACATTGTGAAGCATACCATTAGAAAAAATGTTTTATTTATCCCTTCATACCTTTGTGCTAAACAGAATGAATTTATATTGGACTTACTATGAGCATAAGATAAGGTAAAGCAAGCCTAAGGAAGGAAGGGGGGAGRTGTGTGCAGTGGTGTTGCTGTTGGGCCTTGCAGCAGCGGGGACGCTGCTGCTTGCTGTGCACGTGCAGCCCCCTGGACGGGCACGGGCACGTTACGGGGCTGGTCGCAATCACAGCACTGTTTGAGCATGAGGAGAACAATGACGTTTTCAGAATTTAGGTTGCTATATCACTTTAATATAAATTAATAAAAAGCAGAATGCTTCAATAGCTAGTTAATCTGAGCAATGTGATCTGCTAGCCCAATTTATCACCCAAATATAGCCATATACTTGTCTATCCCATTTAAGTCTCGTTTCACAACAGCAGTGCTGTTGTGGGCCTGTCTCGTTTCACAACAGCAGTGCTCCCCGTGTCTGCCTCTAAGAAATGGTGTTTTACCTAGAGGAAGCGCGTCCCTCCATCCCCGCTCCCCCAGATACAAAGGCACTTAGGTTGATTTTCCTGTCAAATAAGTGACAAAACTTGCCTGATTTAATTGCTTCCTTTATCTGGTGCAATGTACATATAATCAAAAACTTCTCAAAACAGCCACCATGTTCTGCTTTGTTTACATGCTCTTCTTTAGCAGTTACTGCACATCTTTCTTGTAATGGAGAAAATGAGATGTTTGGTGAGAATGTTACGTTAAGAGGTGGGAGAGAAATCTAATGTTCCCTGCAAGGCATGTAAAATGGGGTGTAATTAATACATGGGACACGGTCAGTTTCCATTTTGTGCTGCCTTTGCTGTACATACAATCATATGTTTGCATTTAGTTGAATAGTTTTGAGGCACTGTCTGGTTTGCTTTACTAAAAGGGTATCTTTTGCAGAGGATATTGTCTCATGAACGCTTCCTTTTTCTGTCAGGATGGTCTCTACCAGAACAATATTGTTCTCAGTCTTTTTTTTTTTTTTTTTTTATCTTGGAGAAACAAATGCCTGATTCATTTTTCTAGAAAAAAACAGGAAACTGAAAAGAATATAGACTGGAAAAGAAATTCATACTGTTACTCACCATTTAATTTATATAGTTAAAAAGTAAACTAAAAGTAACAATTTGACAGATACTATGAGGACATCACAGTTTTACTTTTCCTCGTATTATCTGAACCTTCTATTTAAGACCAATTTAAGATGAATTTGTAAGAAAAAATAAATATGAGAACCTTAAAATAAAGCCGTTTCAGCACTAACTGTGACCAAAGTAAAGATTTTGTGCTGCAAATAGGCAGTCTGCACCTTGGTGAGCTTGGTTGTCTGTCAGCACACAGAACTGCTGCTGCAGAAAAACTGAACTGAGTGGCACAGACTGCAGATTCTGAGCCCATTTACATTAAAGGCAATATAAAATAACTGGTGGTTCTTGTATTTGTGACAATATTTTAGTGCTCTAACTTAAGTGCTTTTTAAAGCAAGAAAAAATAATAAATGTAAATTTYTGTGAAAAGTGTTATTTATTTACTTATTTATTTTGACCATGTATGACTTACAGGCTTTTTGAAATGAAATTATGTGATCAATGAACGAAATGTTCCAGTTAATTTTGTGGACTGAAAGAAGTCTGCATATTAATAATGACATTGCTATGAATGACATACTGCACGGCTGTTTTAGCTATGAAACAGCTTAGTCCTAAATCCATATTCTCCTCAGTTTGGAGAAAAAATACAGGTTCTTTTGCAAGGTTTTTGTGCAGGTCTGCCCTCCCATCCTGCTGCCTGCTGGAGACGGCCACTGGCATCTTGCATATGCAAAAGTAGASGGACGGCATGCTGGAAGAAATGGAGAGTTAAAAAAGGAGTGCCACAGTAACCACTGCTCTTTATCTTTCTCCCTTAAAGCAAAATTATACAACCTCCAGCATTCCTGACTGTATAAAATCACGCTCCTGTGAGCCGTGCTAGGGCAAGTCCCCGTGGGTGTGTGCTCGGCATCGGTGTCCCGACGAAGCCCCAGGAACGTCAGGAAGGCCGGGGCGTTCTGGTGGCAGGGAGCAGCACTGCCGGCTGCATGGCCTCGAGGGTGACAGGGAGCAGCGCTGCCGTCGTGGCCGCGGCCACGGGAGCGCCGCTGGCCCCGCGCTGCCGGGCGCTCTCCGGCCGGGACCCCGGCGCCCAGGCTGTCGGCGCCACCGTGGGGCTCGGGAGCCCYGTGCTCCATTCTGAGCCCCAGGAGCTTCAAAGCGTCCGTGACGCATGAGCCGTGAGCACAGGCGTCCTGCAGGACCTGCCTCTGCTTCTAYGCCTGGTGCCAAGCGGAGGGAAGCGATCGACGTGGCGGCCTCTTGTCTCTGAACGGGCAGTGGACTTGGCCACTTACACACTGGGCTCTACTGAGGCTGGCCCTCCTTTCTATTCTTTTTTAGGCATGTACCAAGTAAAAAGAATGTCTTACAGTCTCAAATGTGTGGGGGGAAAGAATTTCCAGTGTATCACGAGCATCAAACACGATCGTAGGAGCAGATACTCCTAAATGGGAAGTACAGGTGTTTCCGTTAYTACATGACAGGGATTATTTTACTTACTGTAAAATAATTTTACTATCTGTTTTACAGTTTATAGCTGCTGTTTCAGTTTTGTTCATTCCATGTTTTCATGCTAAGTTATTGTTTAAAGAACCAATAACTCACGTGTGTCTATGAATTAWACAATTTTATGTAAATTGTGTATAAATAGAGATCTACCAAAGATCTCTGATTATAAGATGTATTTTATGTGGAGGCCAGCTGGTGATGCTGTTGTTGGTTATCTTGTTTCTCTCTGATTTGCATATTAATTTCATAATCTTAAAAAAAATACACCTTGTCTTTAGTGGTGCTAACAGAAATTAAGAGTAAAATAGGAGAGCTAGGTCATGCACGTAATTCCTATCAATAACCAGATGATTAGATGTTGCACTGGCGCGAGTCCGTGCTTGCCTTGATGTGCATAATATGGCCCTTCTCTCCCACACCACTTTTAAATTTATTTGTTTCTTGGTTGATCTGTTTTCTGCTGGACTTCCAGCATCACACTATGACACTCTCTTTTAATGCCCTTTCTTTTTTTTTGCCCTATAGTCGGTGTAATAAGTGCTTTTCTGTAGCTTTTGTTCAGCTAAGCCTCATTTCAAATTCTGGCCTTCTTTTAAAATGCTTGAACTGGGTGCAGCRAGTAGCAATGCAGAAATGTCACCCTGCCTCATCTGAGGTCAGTTAGCAGCTAGCAGACGTTATTTCTTTATTTTGGAAAGATTTCGTTTAGCCAAAGACTTAGTCTTTTAACCAGATCTTGCTTTTCGTGTTTTTGATGGCAAACAACCGTATATTCCAGCCCTTTGCAAACAGTGACTGTCTGGCAGGATTTCCTGGACACGCAGTGGTTAGAGGTTGCAGAAGGCCACTTTCTGAGCTCCGGTGATTCGAATGGTTGTTTGTGCTGCCTTTCCTTCCCTGGGAACTAATCAGCTCATTGTATGTAAGGTAGGGAAAAAAAATCCACATCCTAGTTAGTAACCTCCCTCACAAACAGTAAAGAAAAAAAATAATTGAAACAGGATACCGCCTGACCTCTGGGTACTGTAATGTTCTGAAGCGCGGGAGACAATATTTTGGAAGTCAGAGTTTTGTGAGAAACTCCTGAAAATGATACTTATAACCTGAGTCCCACTTTTTTTTTTTCAGTAGAGTGAGGTACTGAGGATCTCACAGCACGTAAACCATGAGGCAGAAGTTTTGTGAGCAGCACAAGACGGTAACTGGTGCTGGCTGAGAACAACTTTTTTTGCTCATTTTTTTTTTCTCTATGTTGACCTTTCAAAATTTAAGGCAAGGCAGTAATTAAACAAGTTAATCCACAGGAAAAACAAAAGAAAAAATGACCAATTTTAATTCATTTCCAGTAAGTCATTCATTGGAAAAGGTAGTGAGATGTTTCTCATGCTCATATGCAATGTAAAGGATGAACCTTTGACATTTTTACATGTTCTGAGGAAGCCCTAGATGGATAATTCCAGGATAGTAGAGAAGATAACTTTGCATTTTGCTGATGAGAAACAGGTTTTTGCCTGTTTTTCATAGGCAATTTCTCCAAGTCCTGAAAGTGAAGGTGTCTGCTGGATAACAGGAATCCTAATGGATTTCTTCATAGTCTTTGCAGAAGGAGAAAACTGCGGTTGCTCTATTTTCCATGGCAAGTGTCAGTTTTTGTTGTTCATTCGTTTATGCCACGGCCCTGCGCACGGCGTTGCCGCTGAGCGGCGTGGGGCCTCGCGAGAGGCCTCGACTTCCCTTGGCCGTGGGTGCAAAGCAGGCGCCCTGCGTCTCCTCACGCCCTCTCGTAGTTTGCTGATGAAACTTGGGAGTTTGTGGGCAGTCACAAACTCATTTTGACTGTTTTTTTTTGACTGTTTTGCCTCATTTAGTTACTTTTCTGTAACTAAAAATGTTTTCCTAAACACTGAGACATTATGCACGGAGGGTGAAATTTAGAATAATCCTACCTACTTTCTAACCACCATTGCTGTAGATCCCTATCCAAGTATGTATCCAAATGATTTTATTCACCTGAATATTTACATCTATGACCAGGAGGAACCTATGTGAATGAAGCTTTTTCCTAAACTCTATTTTTAATTTCTTATATTGTAACTAAATTTTAGGAGCAARTGGTTTTACAGAAGTGATTTTGGCAAACTAATTACAGTCTTACTGACAAGCTCTACATCTTGTTTGAAGGAATTATGAATGTTGGGCACTGAGGAAAAGCCAGCGGCTGCCACGACAACGGAGACCGACTATTTCAGGGCCTAGTTTGGCCCTGCGTGTCTGTGGCGGTGTTTGTGAACATCTTGGGATGGCTCCTCCAGCTGTCGCTGCTCCTCGGAGGGTCGCCCGGCRAGGCCTCGCTTTGCCCCGTGGGTGTTTTGCAGTGCTCATTTTCCAGTGGAGAATTGTCTGAGAAACGTGTTCCTCGAGGCTGTGTGTGTTATCATTTGGAAACTCTGACCAAGCAGAACAGGAAAAAAGGGAGCTTGTCATAGGAAAAAGTTAGAACAACTGCTGTGCGTTTGTGGAAAGAAATTCCAGGACTGTGGTAATGCTGTTTCACTGTGTTTTTAGGAAATGCTGATTCCTGGACAATGCCAGAAACAAAAGGTAGACTAGATGGAAGATGTGTCTGCTCTGGTTTTCAGAGCAGGAAGCAGTGGGTTTCTGCAACTGAAAACCTTTGCTAAGTAACACAAACATCAGAGTTTTATTGAGATTAATAATAATGAGTTCAACCTCATTAATCCTCTTGTCCGAAAGACACTAGAACTAGAGAAAAAAATCTGTGTCTTTGTGTACCTGCAAAATGTACAGTTCTCTGGAAACATTAATGGCCATTCTCTGATACAGTGAAAGCAAAACTTGCGATAAATATCTGGGATATGCAGGATATTTTAAAATGCAGGATACGTTAAAATAATTAATGTATGTACAATACCATAATTGTCTAGAAGTGCCAGCTGGGTAGAAAAATAATATTTATTAGATAGGGCTGCTTCTCCCTTTCCTGTTATAAAACAGTTCTGTTTTACATTCCCTTCATATAAATCCTGATTACTTAAAAATGTGTTAACTTTCAATGTTTTTCTTTTTCTAAATATAAAGAAAGCTTCACATCAAAACATGAGTATAGCCCTTTAGCCCAAGTGGAATAAATATATATTTTTTTTCATTTTTAACCTATGTAACAGTTTCATTAACAGTAAAATAACATTTTCTGTCCCTAACAAAGGAATATTTTGCTTTAAGATTTTTACATCAATCTCCAAATAAAATAAACATGAATATTTCATAGAATCATTGATATGTATCTTTGATTTCAGTGGTACAAACACTCATCAACCAAACAAATGCATTGGAGCAGTTGTATATATTAAAAATCCTGCAACAATGTTACATATAATAGTTTCATTCAGTACTCTCTATTCTTTCTCTTAAGAATTGGGATTTCATCCAAATTCTAAAGGTTAAGTTGTCAATAGAACTCAAAGGGTGTTTTGTTTCCATTTGTATAACTAGTTTAATGTTTTTAAGTCGGCAGCATATACTAACAATGGCGTCAGTCACTTAGGAGGAAGCTTAGCGGGACATTCTTAAAGTTCTCCCCACAGTAGCAAACACTGTTGAAACAAATTCAGGAAAAGAGCAACCCTTTTCACCAAAGAAGTTATTTTAATTAGAACTTAGCATAGGTTAATAAATATTCAAATTCTTAAGTAATGTTCCAGCTTCAAGATTAGAAATTACAATGGACATGCAATAGGAAAGCTATATTCATGGCTCAGTCAGTTAAGTAATTACACACACTGTGTCTCCTTGTTAAAGCTTCATGAAAATTTCATGAAATGTTATCAGTGTCTGACAAAACAAGTGCCATGAATGTTTTTAGCTAAATCTGTAAGTGAAAATACTGTACCTGAACCTTCTACAGAAATGAATGTTTGAGCTATTGACTGTTACTAATTTCTGCAGTTTCAAAAGAGAAGTGATTGAGAAATACTGTTTTTTAATATATTTCTGTGCTGCTAGAGATATTACAGAAGATAAAAATTTATTTCTTTCCAACTTTGAAGTAAAACAAATAGTGTAAGTCAGATCACTAGCATGCAGCTGTAAGTGTGCACTCTCCATGTGAATACTATGTATACAAACACTTTCTAAAACATTGCTAACATATTTTTGTTTGGAATGAAGCAAGTTTTTTGCTTTCCTGATTATGTCAGTAGTTAATTAAAATACTGAACTTAAAAAATATTATTTAACAGCTGTWGTGGCTGCCTACCCCCATTTTTTCAGTGATATAAATAGGGGCCACCCGGAGCGCTTTGCAGCAGCTGGAAATGTGGGCTTGTGGGATGCTGGAGGAAGTGCCAGTGAGTGCTTTGGGAATGCCCTAAGAATAGACAAAACCTGTTCCTTTAGGAAAGAGGAGCTGTAAAGTTGGTTACAGTAAGAAGTTCATGTAGCATTTTAGTGTGCATGTCAGTAGAACATTTTCATCTGCCTCTCCCATTCTCTCCTCCTCTTTCAGAAATGCCCAGATCTCAAGTGAGTATGAAATAGGCTGAGCCTAGCRCTGCTGTTTCCTCGCTGACCGCGCAGCAGCTGTGGATGCTGCTGGTGCTGCCCACCCGCTCCCTTCTGCCTCTCCGAGCCC